GTTTGGTTGTGTAAAGCCAACAGAGAACAACTTTGAGAATATAAAAATATTTTAGTGTGATTGAAATCTAAAAACCTAGAATGTTAAAAATGGACTGAGTATATTCACAATATACTTTGTGAAATATAGATAGATAGACAGACAGACAGACAGACAGACAGACAGACAGATAGTAACCTTTCTACAATGATCTTGGCAAAATCCCAGTCAGTTTAAACATATACAACAGTATTCCTACTATGTGCAGTATATGTGTTTTTTTTTACAACTGTGACTAATGGTTGCAATATCAATTTAGAACAGCAGAAATGACACAGAACAGAAAACATCACAGCGTATCAAATGTAATAAAAATGCATCATGTTATGAAAACTTTGTTTCAATTATAAACATACAATTATGCATGGGCATACTAAATCCCAAATGACAATATATTCCTTGGTCAAAATCATGCAAACACCCTTATTATAAGGATATTAGGATCTCTGGATCCTATGTCATGCTGAAGAACCTTGTTCCAGGAAGATTACAAGTGCACTGCTAAATGTACTTATAATCCTTCCCTTCCTTTTTATGGTGCTGGGGCTTTATTTCAATGCCTTGCTCTTCTACTTTAGTCTCATCTTTATCTTGTTTTTCAGACAAGATCTTATGCATTTTTTCCCCCAGGGCTAACTCTGGACCAGCATCCTCCTCCCTGTACATCCTATGTAGCTGCAAGTACAGCTGCACCAACACATCTAGCCTGAAGATAGCATAATTCTTTTAGAGGTCTGGGAAAGTGACTGAATTAACTCCTGAATGTTGGGTTGAAATCTGACAGGTAGAAAAGGGGGCTCTAGGTGTTACTGTGTGATCTATCTTCTGGGAACACTGAATAATCTAGGCTAGAGCCCATAGAACTTATTTATATGTAAGGACTGAAGGTAGGTTACAAAGATACAGTGTTCCCCTCATTCATGATTCAGTTGCGTATGATAAACTGAGATATTGACAATTTTGAATGGAAAATTCCAGATATAAACAATTTCTGAGTTTAAAACTATATACCATTCTGAGCAGTATGATAAGATCTCATGTGTCTTATGTCTAGTACCTCCATATGGTATACAATACATTTCCACCTCCCCTAAACCTCCTCCTCCCCCAAATCAGCCACTTGCTATTTTATTTGGTTAACAGATCAACTGCAATAGTAGCTACTGTTGGTGTTCAAATAACCTTTAATTTATTTAACATGGCCTGAAAGAGAAAGAGGAGTGGTACAGGAAATGTGTTATGCCAAAGAGCAGCTGTCGAAAGCTGAAAAGGAGAAAGTTCTTGATCTAGTAAGGAAAGAAAAAAAGAAAACCTGATACGATGATTGGTAAAATGTATGGAAAGAATCAATCTTCTGCCTATGAAATTGCAAAGTAAGAAAAAGAAATTCATAATAGCTTTGCTGTCAAACCTCAAACTTTAAAAGTTATGTCCAAAGTAGGTGATAAGTGCTGAGTTAAGATGGAAAGGAATTACACATATATATGCATGTACAGGAAAAATATAACATGGATAGGTTTTGGTATTGTCCCTGGTTTTAAGAGTGTATGGAATTTAACCTGAGCAGAAAAGAGGGGCTAGTGTATTTAAAACAACATGGGAAGGATATACTGATGAAATTATACTAATATGATATGGACAGGACAGGAGAAAAGAGGCCATCTTGGAAGATAAAATGAAGCAGATATGTTGGAACATGTTTGTAATTCCGGCTATGACAGAGACACATATAAGAGAATCATAATCTGAAGCCAGAAGCAAGGGAAGAAAGACAGTGGCTTGATGTGGTGGTAGGTGCCTGCCATCTTGGCTGTGTGGGAGGCAGTGTGTTGAAGGGTTGAAAACCATGGCTGATCTCAAGCGAAATGTAAGACTGTATCTGAAAAGTAACCTAAAGCAAAAAGTAGACAGACAGACAGATAGAAAGGAAGAAGACTCCAGTGTGTACTTGAAGGTAAGAACAGAACAGAATGGGAGGCAATGAATGATATGATCGAAAACATATTACAGGGCTACTGCAATCACTGTGACAGTCTAGATATCTGGCTTTCAACCACCTAAGTGGAGGTGTTTGAGAGTGCAGATGTGTTTTGAAAAGTATGAAATGACTTTGTTCTCATAATAAAAGTTTCATAAAGTGCCACTATGACAAATTCCTATTATGGTAGGGATATGAACCCCATTTTAAAAGTTAAGATAGCTCTAATCTCCAAAATCCCTCCAAGTTATACCTTCTTTTGCCTGATTTTATTTTAGGGATGAGTGAACTGAGGTTGGAAGAAGTGAGATGGATCATCAGTGGCAGAAGTGGAAATATATCTTCCTTCTAAGTTCCTGGTACTGTTCATTCCATTGCAGTAAGTCTCTGTGACAGTTTCCATTTTACAAATGAGACAGTTTAAGTGAAGAGAGATAGAGCTGGAAATGTTCACTAGTTGGATCCAGACACTCATATATAATT